GAAATGGTTCAGGTCTTGTGGATGGCTTGGGGTTTGGTCTTGGTGGAACCTGCAAAATGAAGACCAACTGCAAAATCAGATTCCGGCAGAGATTGAAAAAAGTCTACCTAAACACCTTAAAAGGGAGTAGCAGGAAGCAACATGTTGATGGATGGATGATATCAATTACCACTGGATAATCCGTTGTGTAAGGATACGGAGTTGCCTTCGGGACCCTAGCAAGTTCGTCCTCCATTTTCTTCCTCTCCAGTTCCATGGCAAGCCTCCTTTCTTTTTCTGCCCCTCTTTCCTGAAGACAGGACAAGAAATAAAAGGTTGGCCATATGGTAACAAGATTCATTATCTGGGAGTTGGATTGGATTAATGTGTCAGATGCTTTCTCATCTTCATGAAAAGATTGACCAAATACCTCCGTGTGCAAATGGAACGGGTTTGGTGCTGTGTTTCTAGGAAGCAGATGATTGTCCTGAGATTCCGAGTTCAAGGAAAGCTGCAAAGAGTTCATTGATGAGTCGAGTCACACTTTATGGTTTCAACAAGGTATACAAAAAGTCTACAAAAGAAACCTACCTTATCAAACATGTCAGCAACAACAGTGGGAGGTGGAATTCTCTCATCTATGGCAAAGTGGAATTCTTTAGGTACCGTGACCTGCTTCTTGGTATTACAGAAGATCCCAAGTTCTCCTTTACTTTCAAATATCTATACAAGCACAGATGTCAAGTAGGTTAGATTAAAAAGTCTGATGCATCGTTCATAAAGCAGTACTCAATTAGAAGAAGTTATGATATGATTCTCATCCATTCACCCTACAAGTTGGAATTGATTGTTCAAGAAGCTACTTCGATGACGTACAAGAAGTTGGAGATTCGGCCAAGTGTTTTGGCAGTTTCAGGTAACCCACTTTGGGAGCTCGGTTTGCTCAATTGGTTAAATGGAAATGGTGTTTTAGGTGCTCGTTGTGAAGCTGAGATGTTTGTTTACACAACGGGAGGCTTGAGAGCTCGAAGGGAAGTCAGGAAGTTCATTGTTCGAGCTGTTCAAAAGTGTATGCACAAACTGGCAAAATACCAGAATTTGGCTAAGTCTGGGAGTGTGATCAGGAAGCTCACTTTGGAGCTCTATTCCAGGAAGAAGAGTGATGATCTAGGCAGGAGCTCCCTACCCCATGAAAGCATGTATGTCAATCTACAACGGAAGGGCATTGGCTGATGAATCACTTACCATAAGGTCTTCGATCGAGAGGCTCAAAGATGGTATCGAAGACTGTTCTTTTACTGGAAGCTGATGGCAGGAGTTGTTTCCTTGTTTGCTACGGAGTGTTTTCCTTTTCTGTTTGTAATTAGTTTTCGTGTCCTACTGTAATTGGGAAGGCTTGTAGTTTTAGTTTCCCTAGTTTCTATTTAAACACTCGTCGATTGCATTGTAATTCGTTAGAGTTTAATCAAAGAACCCGTTTGTTCATAGAGCTTTTGTCTCATGAATTGTCCTTGTTTGAGGGGATTGTATTCCGTCAATCAAGCGAGCTCAGACCTCAATTGTGGACGAGTTGCGACTGCTAATTCGATCGAGCCTCTTCCCTTCATTGGTGCGAAGTTGCACGTTCGAACACCATCCCTTTTCTTCCCCTGTTTTGCGTCGAAATCTCCTACTCACTTGTTTCATTGGAGTTGGACGAGTTACAGCACCCTAGCTGGGAATTAGGACGCCATCAAGTGGTATCAAGAGCCCGGTTCAACTCAGCGGCGTTTGTGAGGAATTCTGGTTTCTGTGCGGTGGCTAGGAAGACGATTTCGTCGGCGAAAGGCGTCGCCGGTACTGAAAGGTGGATCAGATCCAAAGGGCCCGTTTCCTGTGACCCTGCTGCTGTTCGACCATCTGAACAGACGACGAAGAAAAGGCAGGCGGCTCCAGAAGCTGCTCGCGTTTCATTCAGTACAGCACGCGCAGAGTCCGCGCCGGAGAAGGAGACCTCAATTGACAAGGCACCAATGGCTGAGGAAAAAATCAATACGTCAGAACTTCTCCAAACAATTATGGCTCAGCTGAACGTCACGTTTCAGGCGCAATTTGATCAAATTAACCGCCAGTTGACCGAATTGAAGACTGCGGCAAGCAACCCTGTGCCAACGGAGAGAGTGGCAGAGCCTGTTCCCAACCCAGGCGGTAATCAAGTTCGAACAGCCCCAATTGGCGCCTTCCCGGAGCTGGATGACAGGATCAGAAATCTCGAACGACGACTAATCCTCGCGGAAGGAAATCCGATGCCTCTCAACCACGAATTGCATGATCAAAATTTCCGACCACCAGAAGCAGAGCAAGAGGCTGCAGTGGCAGAACTCAAAGGAATCAAGCTTGCGATTCCTTCCTTCTCAGGATCCAACAATGTCTCAGCCTACCTAGATTGGGAAAGAAAGATGATTCTCTTCTTTCAATGTGGCAATTACACCGATTCCCAGAAGATCACACTTGCCACCTATGAATTTACGGACTATGCAACATTGTGGTGGGAGAAGGTGCAGCTTCGACGACGAAGGAACGGACAGCCTGTTGTAGCAACTTGGGAGGAGCTGAGAAGACTAATGAGAGATCGTTTTGTTCCCGAGTACTATCAAAGGGACCTCTTTGATTCCTTACAAGGGATTCGGCAAGGTTCGCGATCTGTTGACGAATATTATAAAGAGCTTGAGTTGCTCTTAATGAGAGCCGATGTCCGAGAGGATAGAGAAGCCACCGTCGCGAGGTTCTTACATGGATTAAACAGGGACATCCGATACGAAGTGGAGCTTCGACCATTTGTTGAGTTGGAGGAAGCTGTACATCTTGCGATGAAGGTGGAAAAGCAACTAAAATCCTCTGCAAGTCGGCGACTTCCAACAGCAGCAAGGGCAGAACCTGTTCCGAGAAGCCCTGTGGATCCAGTGCGAACAGAAGGGGACAAAGCAGCTGTTCGAAACCAGCCATCCAAAATCGAAGGATCCAGCGCCCAAATTCAATGCTTCAAATGTTTTGGGCGGGGACACAAGGCCAATCAATGCCCAAACCGAAAAGCACTTGTGCTCAGGGACGGCGAATATTACTCTGAAGAGGAAGAGGAAGAGACCCTAATTGGTTCCGATGAAGAAATTCAAGTTGAAACTCCACCTCCAGGAAAATTATTCGCTGTCAGCCGGAGAGCTCTCGCGGCCACACTCCAGCCCGGCGCAAGTCAACGAGAGAACCTCTTTCAGACCCGATGTTATGTTGAGGGTCAATTGCTATCTGTGATCGTCGACGGCGGGAGCTGTGCTAATGTAATTAGCCAGGATGTGGTTAGACGACTCGGATTAACAACGAGCAGGCATCCCGAACCATACAACTTACATTGGCTTAACGATTACGGGGCCATTAAGGTGCAACGACAGGCGCTCGTCAAATTCGAAATTGGAGAATACAAAGACGAGCTCATATTTGACATCGCCCCAATGCAGGCTACTCACCTTCTTCTGGGCAGGCCATGGCAATTTGACAGAGGTGTATCTCACTATGGCAGCACCAACTGCTACAAGGTGAAGCATGGTGGAAGGAAGATCTTGCTGAAACCTCTGACCCCGGAGGAGGTTCGCGAAGATCAACAACAGCTAGAGGCTGGTCGACGGCGAACTGCAGGGGGATCTAGTGAGAACGAACTCCATGTGGCATTCCTAACCCATCGAAGGTTCATGTTAACTGGGTACCGGAAGAAGAAGGCTTCGCGTCAGCGTCGACCCTGTGTTTCTTCGCCAAAACAGAGCAAGAGAGAGGGGGAGTTGGGTGGCGAGCTGGGCAGCACCACGAACTCCACCGATGATGCCAAAACATCCCCTGAATCCTTGCAAAGCTCTCCTAATGATTGGCTTGGGCCAAATTTTTCTATTTTACAAGATGTTGATCGAGCTGCAACACCCCTGCTGGCCTTCGAACACAAAGGGAAGGTGGTGGAATGGGGGGGGAGTGCTTGGGGACCAGTCGGCACACGCCGACACTGCGGAATCATCAGGGATCGACCCAAGAAGCTGTAGGAATCGTCGAATTGCTACAGCGAAGCGTGAATCCGAAACGCCCAAATCGGAATTAAAATTCATGGGCTTGGCAGGTTTGAATGTCGATTAAGGCGGGAGAAATAGAACCTACGATTCGACCCCGCCAACAATGAATCGAGAGGTGAGGATGCTCCAGAAACGCGATTCGAAGTCTCACGAAGCTGGTGGTAATCACGAATTGAATTGGTACTGCCTCGATCAAAAGTCCCCAATCTCATGGTTCAAGAACAATGCTCTATTTTTCCAGAATGGTCAGTTCGAGCACTCATATTCCGATCCGGTTTGGGAGCAGTTTTGTACGGATTTCGATAGGAGGAAGGTTCACGCTTTGAGGACAAAGCTTTTTGAAGAAGGGGGGCCTGATATGATTCTCATCCATTTACCCTACAAGTTGGAATTGATTGTTCAAGAAGCTACTTCGATGAAGTACAAGAAGTTGGAGGCTTGAGAGCTCGAAGGGAAGTCAGGAAGTTCATTGTTCGAGCTGTTCAAAAGTGTATGCACAAACTGGCAAACTACCAGAATTTGGCTAAGTCTGGGAGTGTGATCAGGAAGCTCACTTTGGAGCTCTATTCCAGGAAGAAGAGTGATGATCTAGGCAGGAGCTCCCTACCCCATGAAAGCATGTATGTCAATCTACAACGGAAGGGCATTGGCTGATGAATCACTTACCATAAGGTCTTCGATCGAGAGGCTCAAAGATGGTATCGAAGACTGTTCTTTTACTGGAAGCTGATGGCAGGAGTTGTTTCCTTGTTTGCTACGGAGTGTTTTCCTTTTCTGTTTGTAATTAGTTTTCGTGTCCTACTGTAATTGGGAAGGCTTGTAGTTTTAGTTTCCCTAGTTTTCTATTTAAACACTCGTCGATTGCATTGTAATTCGTTAGAGTTTAATCAAAGAACCCGTTTGTTCATAGAGCTTTTGTCTCGTGAATTGTCCTTGTTTGAGGGGATTGTATTCCGTCAATCAAGCGAGCTCAGTATCAATTGAGTATTCACCTCAATTGTGGACGAGTTGCGACTGCTAATTCGATCGAGCCTCTTCCGTTCATTGGTGCGAAGTTGCACGTTCGAACACCATCCCTTTTCTTCCCCTGGTTTGCGTCGAAAATCTCCTACTCACTTGTTTCATTGGAGTTGGACGAGTTACATCACCCTAGCTGGGAATTAGGACGCCATCAAGTTAGATACCATACCTTTTTGTTCAAAGGCTTTGCCTTGAACTTAGGAATCTTCTCGAGAGCCTCTTTCTCAAGTTCAAGAGTACTTTTAACCTTTACTGGACGAGCTCTCAAAGAGGTCTGAAGCAATGGAGTTTTAGGTTCGGTGCAATGAGGCTTCCATTCATTGTTCTGCATTGAAGGTGACAGATAACGGGGAAAACAGAATGAGTACGTTTGAATTAAGTTTTTCTCGGTAAGAATTGACAACATCATTGTGGAGTGGTTACTACGTACCTGACGAGAAACTTCTGTTGAGGCTACTGATGCTGATTCTGCATTGTGAGTAGCCCTAACTGCTGTCTCAAGATGGAACTCCTGGTAGAATGAAGGAAATTCTAAGTTAAGCGCCTTAACCAAGTGAGTGGAAACAACAGGCCAAAGGAACCATTATGGCTGGGAGACTTGCCTGAAACTCAGGTGCCTGTGGTGTACTTCTTGGTATTATTGGTAGAGTTGAAGCTTCCAGAATCTGTTGGGAGAATCCAGTGCATGAAGAAACGAATACAAAATAATGCAGCTGTAAGAGAAACAACGAGAAGAAGCCGAAGCTAGTATTATTGTTACCTTCTTGTTTACTAGCCTAGCTTTGAATTTTGGAATTTTGGCCAACATCTCTTCTTCAAGCTCCGCACTACTCTTAACTCTGACTGGACGGACCCTCTGAGCCGTTTCAAAAGCCGGCTCCTTGGGCCTTGTAAGCGTGAGCTTAGGTTTCCCCTGAGTGGCAGAAGCACAATCGTCAACCAAATTGACTGGGACCGAAAGAAGTAAAACTGGACAAGCTTAGATTGTATTGTTACCTGTGGGATAGGTAAAGACAAGTCCCTAGTACTGGTTTGGAACTTCCTCATCATTTCTGCCGTCGAGACAAAAGGAGCTTGCACAGCTGTTTCCCGAACGTAAACCTTAATAGAAGGATACAAAGAAATACAGTTCAATATCACTTCGCTAGAACTGGATCAGGGCGTGGTAGATTATCATTTGTTCATGGCTGCAAAAAGCTAACCTTTCTCTCCTCTTTCTGCGTTCTGTTAGCTACACAGTTTGCATTGCTAGTTGAAAGACCCAGCTTGGACTTGTGGGGTAATGGTTGTGGGGGTCTAACATTAAGAATCTGAAATTTCCATCGACGGACAAATAGTTAGTTAGAACCAGCTTGCGTGAAAGTTGAACTTGAAAAGGGGGAATGTCAAGGCAAGCAACAGTCACCTGTCTGGATTTCCCGTCTTCAAGCTTCTGCCGTTTGATGGCCTGGTTCTCCTGTGCGAAGGAGAAAGCTCCAGCAGGATTGTTTGTATTATTATTACCTCCTCTGTAAAGGAATCCAGTGCAACTCATGATTAATAATGACTCAGACACAAGAGGTTTAAGGATAGAAAGATCACAGAATTATGCCTACTGACTTTTTCAGGCTTGACTGTGGTTTGACACCTTTGACCTGGGAGGATTGTGCTTGACTCTTGGATTTTAGCACTGATGGATTCTTAACCAAACTAGCTATGTGCCTGGCTGATTGATGCTTCTTGGAGCCCGTCAATGCACCTCCTTTCTGTGAATGCAATGATGGCTGCGGCGTGCTGCATGCCTCGGTGCTGGTTTGCTCTTTAACTTCAGCAGATTCAACTTTCATGGAAGTAATTCTGTTTCAAACAACATATATAAACTCATTAACGGCATTGAACGTAATCCCCATTAGCCATCAGAGCAATCTGTTGAGGAAATAAAGCATTTAAATCCATAAAAAAGAGTACATAAAAAGTGAACCTTGCATGTTCTTGCTTATGAATAGTTGCTTTCTCTTTCTGCTCAAAGAAGAGAATAGCCTTCTCCACAACGCCCTCGCAAGTATCATTGCCAGCAGGTAACTGAAAGGTGAACCTTGCATGTTCTTGCTTATGAATAGTTGCTTTCTCTTTCTGCTCAAAGAAGAGAATAACCTTCTCTCTCCACAACGCCCTTGCAAGTATCATTGCCAGCAGGTAACTGAAAGGTGTCGGAAACGAGTGTATTAGACCATAATAAATATGGTGTCCACATTATCATTTGATTCTTCTACACAACGCCCTTTCAACAACTTACCACATTCACCTGGCAGCCATTGTTTTCCTTGTTTGCTGCTGCTTCCCTTGTTTCAGCTGATTGCTTGTCTTCTCTCTCAGCAGCAGTTGACTCTGAGGATTCTGCAGCCTATTACAGAATATGAACGTCATGAAGCCTTATAGACAGTCAATTTGGCTTAATAATCACTTGATCAACGAGTGAAGGAATCTCAATCAAATAATGACCTACCTTGGGGATTTGGTCAGCTTCAGTAAAATCACACAGGCTATTAACCTTGAGTGATCCTGCCAGTCCTAATTCTTGGCATAAAAACTGCAAAAACGAATCATAGAACAACAAAATCATCAAGACACGGTACAGAGCCTTCTGCGATTTTTTACCCTAACCCTTGAGGTTAACCAGTAAACCCCTAATTCAAGAATTCAAATTAAAACCACACCCAACCTAGCAAACCAGGAGCAAAATCAGTGAATTCACAAACCCCTAATTCAAGAATTCAAATTGAAACCACACCAAACCTAGCAAACCAGGAGCAATCAGTGAATTCACAAACTCCTGAAGACTGAGCGAGCGTGCGAGCAATGATTGTTGTGTTTTTCGACTAATCCAAGAACGATAAAAGAAGAAATAGAGTGGGAGAGTTGGAGAGAATTGTAAGGAGGGAGGAAACGTACGAGAAGGGGCGTGACTGGGAGCAGTGTCGAACCAGAGCTCCGCCTTCCTCATATCTTCCTTAGACTCCGCTTTAGTGAAACCGAAGAACCTGGGAGCGGAGAACTCGTATATCTCGTCGATCACTGAAGAGACGGCGGCAGTGCCTCCTTCGGCCGCGCCGGTGGGATCCTCAGTCGCCGCGGCAGCCATAGTAAGTGGGGGCTGAGGAAATTGAGCGAGACGTTGGGGGAAGGGAAGCCGGGGAGAAGTTCAGGAAGTAAAGTCGGAGAAGAGTTTTATCTGTGTCCGATGGAGAGTGATGAATTTTGGGGGGTGGGTAGTTTGACGATAGAGGGGGCGGAGGAGGAGTGTTAAGACTTGTCAAGTATAAGTGTATAACGTTAGGGTGGACGGGAGGATGCATCTTCCGACGGTCGAATTTTTTTCCCGACCTTTTTGAACTCCCAGCTCCCAGGACGGAGAGTGGGGGCCACATGTGCCATTAACGGCTAGATTCTCGAGAGCGTAAAATAGTGAACTACGCCCTGAAATGCTGTCGTTTTCGTGGATGGCCGTTACAGCAGCTTATTTACCATGGATCGATTCTTAGCATTATGCTCTCCAAGAATGCTAAGTTAGGTGTGCCGGCTCATATCCTCCAATAGAGTTTTGTCATTTGTGTTAATTATTTATGGTGCATATGATACTGCAATCACGTAATTTTTTCAAATTTAAAGTTACCGCTCTCTTCTTAATTTTTGCTAAAGGTAAATTGGTAATTGGTTAATGTTGGGCATGTGACTCGGATCCTTCCCCATTGAAGAAACACCAAGGGTAATCGCGTCAAGGAGAAGCGCGCAAGTACACCGGAGTGAAGCGCGCCGGAACCAAGCGCGCGGGTCGCGCCGGAACCAAGCACGCTAGTGGAGACCACCCCCGGAGGGGCGCGCGCGAATACTAAACGACGACGCATCACCTGGTCGTGGGCCCTTATCGAGAAGCCGCAGAAGCGGCGCCGCGTCACCGCGTCACCTAACGGGTAGTCACCATCATAGTCCTAGGTATAGTCCTGCTTGTGTCAGGAGTAGTCACATCAGTGTCCTAGTCACATCAGTGTCCTAAAAGCGTGGACTAAATCCCTGGCATGTCAGTGGTCATATCATTGTGTCCACTTGCAACCCAACCACTCACCCACCACCATGTAGCCTATAAATATGACATTTACTCCGGTGGGTGAGGGGATCGGATTTTTCTCACTCTATCTCTAAGATCATCGACTTCTCTCTCTAAAATATTTCTCTCTCACTCCTCCTCGTAATCTCCTCTGTTCTTCCATCGACGATTATTTCCCTTCCTGCTTACTCTCCTTGACCCATTTTCCCGAGTCTCCCTCCTACACCCAGTTAGGCTCAAACAATTGGCGCCCACCGTGGGGCCAAGTAGAGAAGCAAAGAAAAATCCCAAAGAAAATTAACCTATGGCAGAGCACAACTCCAATTCACCTGATGAATCAACCCCGATCAAGGCCATGACCAACCCAAGGGAATTCGCGGAAGCCAGTAACCTCAACATGGTGCTCTTAGAAGAGGAAGAGCCCGAGCTCACAGCCAGAGAAATGAGGCAGCTGATGGCGAAACAGAACGACGTCATAGCCAACATGCAGAAACAAATGAGCCAGGTCATGGCGCTCATGATGAGCAAGGAGGCCGCGGCAACAGCGGGCGCGACACCATCCGCGCCAGGGACAGTCCTACCAGCGCAACCCGCGCACGAAGCGCAACAAGTCGAGCTCACAGTAAGCGCGACACCAGTCGCGCCCCACCAAGCCCGCGGAGAAACGTCGGGAACGTTTCCGCAACTACACCTCGTGCATGAAGCACAGCCAGCTGAAACTCCAGGAAGGGCGGACCTCAGCTTTCTAGAGCAACATCTATCCCCGCAATACCGACTCAGCGCGCCCAAGAGGGCGCTCCACCAGCCGCTGAGCGCGGAAATCATGGCGGAACACCTGAGCGGAATGCCACCCGCCCTCCCGACATACAACGGGACGACCGATCCCGAAGATCACGTGAGCACTTTCTGCCTGCGGATGCAGCTCCAGACCAACTCCAACGCGGCACTATGCCGAACCTTCCCATCGACATTTTCTGGGATATGCCTAGATTGGTATAACAGGCTCCCAAATGGGATCATCCGCTCCTTCGAGGAGTTCATACTCCTATTCACGACAAAGTTTGCATCCCAAAAAAGGAGGCCGCTCCACCTCAAAGCTCTGGTAGACCTCAGGCAAAAAGACGGGGAAGGCCTACGAGCATTTTACGCCAGATGGTCCAGAGTGGCGATGGCAGTGCGCGACCTTACTCCTGAAACCGCCGCCCATCACCTTATGGAAGCCACAACCAACATGGAACTCAAGCGGGCGCTAGCAAAAAGGCCCGTAACTCTGTCAACGGAGTTAGAGATGAAAATCGAGAAGGCAATTACGCTAGAGGAAACCCTGGGAGCGGGATCTGTTAGGCGCTTCGAGCCAGCCAAATTGCCACGAGAAGAGCAGGGAAGACGGCAGATCACGCTGCCGCGAGATCAGCTAGCACAGCTGCACAGCGGACATAAGCAACACCCCCCTCCCCCACAAGAGCAAGCGCAGCGGAGAAGATCACCAGACAGGCGCGCGCCTCACGCATTTACACCGCTCAACGACTCCGTAAAGAACGTGTTCCACGTTCTACACGAGAAGGGGTACAAGCTCAACTGGCCCGCGCCCCTGAAGTCCTTGCCCCACATGAGAGATCCAAAAAAGCATTACGACTTCCACAGAGCGACGGGGCACTGGACGGAGGATTGCCGAGAGCTGCGCTATGAGATAGAGGGCCTCATACGGCGAGGGTTGCTGACCGAATTCACACACGAAAAAGAGGAGCAAGTTGGGGGACACCAAAACCCGCCGCCACCTCCGCAAGCCGATTACAACGAAGCCACCGCAGACTATGTGGTGCGGAAGGAAATAGGGGTGGTGACGATGGAAGGAGATCGCCCGAAGAAGAAAACCAAGCGCGAACGAGCAATCGAATTCGCGGCAGCTGATGTACGAGTAGGGGGTCAACTGAGCTTCGACGACACCGAACTACCGCAAGGAGTTCCGTCGAAAGACCCACTCATCATCACCGCCCTAGTGGCCGCCTGCAAAATCCACCGCCTCCTGATAGACGGGGGTGCAGCGGCAGACATCGTCTTCCAAAGCACAATCGACAAGATGGACGTCGACCCGCGCTTCATCAAGCGCGCTCAAGGGAACTTGGTCGGCTTCTCCGGAGCGAGGGTGCCAGTAATTGGGGTGATCACTCTCCCTGTGGTCATAGGAGACCAAGAGCCGCGCGTCTCAAAGCAGATCGAGTTCACAATAGTCGACTGCAAGTCGTCCCACAACGGCATCTTGGGTCGACCCTTCTTGGCAAAATTCATGGCCCTTCCTTCCACGTGCCACCAAAAACTCAAGTTCCCCACAAAAATGGGAACCGGAGAGGCGTGCGGGACACCATGGGAAGCCCTGAAGCTAGAAGGAGAGCCTCGACAAACAAACATTGTCGACACAAGGCCAGAAGAACCCCGCCCGGAATCAATGGATTCCGATTTCGAGGTCGCGCTCGACCCAGCCGAGCCGACCAGGAAAATACGCATCTCGACTCACGTTCGCGATGACGCGATTGAGCCACTGATAGAGCTATTGAAGGAGTACAAGGAGCTCTTTGCCTAGTGCACAGAAGACATGCCAGGAGTACCAAGGCATGTGGCCCAACATTGCCTCGCAGTCCCGCCAAGCACCATTCCGAGGCAACAAGCGCGACGCGGCTTTACTGGTGACAAGTTGAAGGCCATGGAAGAAGAGGTGTCGCGAATCTTGGCGGCAGGGCTGATTCGCCCAGTCAAATACCCAAAGTGGTTGGCGAATGTGGTCTTGGTAAAAAAATCTTCAGGCGCTTGGCGGATGTGCGTTGACTACACGACAATCAACAAGGTATGCCCGGGAGACCCTTAGCCCCTGCCGCGCATCGACCAACTGATCGACGCCACCGCCGACCACGAGACACTGTCTTTCTTGGACATGTTCTCAGGGTACCATCAAATCCCGATGTCGCGCGAAGATGAAGAAAAGACGGCGTTCATGACTCCCTTCGGAAACTTCTGTTTCGTCGGAATGCCGTTCGGACTGAAGAACGCGGGCGCGACATACCAAAGAATGATCGACTCGGTGTTCTCACATTAGAGGGGGCGGAACATCGAAGCGTACGTAGACGACCTCATCGTCAAAACCAAGGCTGGGAACTCGCACCTAGAGGATCTACGAGAAACATTTGAGGCGCTCCGCAAGCACAGCCTCCGCTTGAACCCACTGAAGTGCGTCTTTGGAGCGGAAGCAGGGAAGTTTTTGGGGTTTATGATAACCAAGCGCGGCATCGAAGTGGACCCAAAACAAATCACGGCGGTCCAACAACTGCGGGCCCCAAGGAGCACGTTTGAAATCCAATCCCTGAATGGGAAGATAGCAGCGCTGGGGAGATTCATCCCAAGGTCGGCCGACAAGTGCGCGCCCTTCTTCAAGACACTCAAAAACGGCGCAAAATTCGCATGGACCAAAGAGTGTGAAGCAGCCTTCCAAGAGCTGAAATCATATCTTGTATCCCCCCCTGTGTTGACAGCTCCCAAGCCTAATGAAAAGTTATTCCTTTATCTTGCCGTGTCAACAAGAGCAGTGAGCGCTGTTCTAATAACCAGAAGAATTGACAATACCGAGCAGCCCGTGTATTACACCTCGCGAACGCTAGTTAGCGCAGAAACAAGATACTCCCCAATTGAGAAGGCAGCCCTGGCATTAGTAAGTGCGTCACAGAAGTTGCGCCCCTACTTCCAAGCGCATCAGATCACCGTCCTGACCAACCTCCCACTAAAGAAAATCCTAACCTCGATGGAAGTGTCAGGGCGCATGGTGAAATGGGCAGTCGAACTCTCGGAGTACGACATCCAATACGCGCCGAGACCAGCAATCAAGGGCCAGATCCTAGCAGACTTCATCGCTGAAGGAGTCACCCTCGACACTACACCAGAGGGAGTATGGGAAGTTTACGTTGACGGAGCGGCGAGTAAGCACGGTGCTGGCGCGGGAGTCGTCGTGCGCACGCCAACAGGCGTCGTTCACGAGATTGCTATCAGATTCAGAGCGTTAAAGACTAATAACGCGGCTGAATACGAGGCCATCTTGGCAGGGATGACCGCTGCCCACGATTTGGGCGCAAGAACGATAAGGATACTTTCAGACTCCTCACTGGCAGTCAACCAACTGAACGGAGCCTTTGACGCGAAGGAAAATA